ACACAAGTAATGTCAGAATATACTGGAATGCAGAGGTCACCGCCAATAGGGGATGGACGCGTGGCAAATGATGTCACATCAGAGACAGACAAACTGCACGCCGTTGCTGACACACTGCTTGGGAAAGCAAACAATTAATTGCACCCTTCTGTCGATGAGACCGCATTTAATGCGGTAAGACTCAGAAATGAAAGGCAATAAATGCTCCTATTACAGAGCATTTATTGCATCCTCCCCGAGAGGAGCATATTGTACCGTCGGCATCCCGACGACTGAGCATTGATTGCTCGGGGACCCCGAGCAGTCAATTAGAGAAGACATTCCTCATCAGAATCAATGCACACGCTACCTGTGCCTAATGATCACCTGCTGACCACACTGACAGCAATCATGAGCCTTTAAGGTATAAATACTCCTTGCAAAAGGCTAAGCGGGTATGCAACCACAAACTCTCTGCTACAATACCATTTTCTCAGTGTTTTCTCCTTTCTCTCTCTCACTCAAAGATTGACTAGACTGTCGGAGGGGATACGCCGGAAAACACTCCGGCGCCCTTCTAACTTCTTCTTCTTTGTTCCAGGGACCCCTTTCATCCCTATAGGACCGTCACTCCTTTCTCAGGGACTCCCGTTGCCGTTCCGGTTTACCACCGTACTGTGCAGGCTGCCCCAAGCAGCGTGCTTGTTCACTCAACCGACACACCCGAAGTTCACCAGGAGAGAGATCTGTTCCCGTTTTTTTTATATTGTGCAGGATCTCGCCCGCACAGTTGGGATTAAGGCAACATATGGTAAACTTGAAGCCTTATTGATATTGTAATTGTAATTGTAACTGCTCAGAAGGGGATTTGTTGTTGGATCTCCGGTAGAGCAGGGATTACAGGCATAAATGGGAGTTGGAACTGGGAAGTACATTCCAAGACGTCAAGTGCATTATTATTAAACTTTAAGATCAAACAACGGGATTGCTAGCGTCGCCTACCATAGCAAAAGCCCTTCAGCCACAATGAAGAGCCCCTAGCTAGTCACAATTTTTTCTTAAAATTACAAAAAACTTGTCTCCAATCGATCAAAACTGTAAGAACTTCAAAAGAAACGAATAGTACTATTCGACAATTTCTGTCATTTAGTAGTAGTGAAAATATTTGAGCACATAAGAGAATTTACAAGGTGGGGAAACCGACTGGCGACAAAATCAGGCAAGAGCAGGTCCCCAAGGGAGCTCCTCAATGGTCATATGTCTCAAAGACATAGCCAGATGCGCATCAGAAGCGTGAATCTGGATCAATCTATCCTGCATATTTTGGAAAGATGGAATATCTAATGCACCAGATATCGTCTCACGCATTGAATGGTCTTCTGAAAAATTAACAAGGGCTTCTGCAGCATTATCTCTCAGTTCCTCAGACTCGTCTTCCAACATATGACATGATATATCTATATATATACAAGTTTTTTAGAGTTCACTAGTGTTTTTCAATTTTGACTCTTTTAAAATCATCACTAAAACTTCGGGGTTGGTTTAGGAGTTTAAAAAGGGGGAAGCCGTAACCCTGCATTTCCTGAATCCAAATTCCCTAGTTACATAAAACCCTAATTTCAACTGATATACAAGGTTTGTAGGTGATGACATGAATTTGAGTTAAAAGTATGTGTGGTCGGTATGATTTCCTCTTACGATAAAAAAAAAAATGTCCAGATGATTAAGCTTTTAGCCATTTGTCATCTTGCCATATGATTCAGTGAGAGGCAGAAGTAGAAACAAATGGTAGTTGTTAAACAATCTAATAAAAGAGAAATACAAGAGATAAGAAAAAAGCAGGTTAGAGTTTTATTGATACTGCATAATTTGATTGAATACAAAAAAGTGATTTAACCTAAATACAAATAAACTATATATAGGCTAAACAAAGAGAAAGTAAATGACTATTCTACCCTTAATAAACAAAATAACCAATAACTCTATAATTCTTAACATCTCCCCTCAAACTCACGATGCGGCAGTTACAAGTATCGAGAGTTTGCCAACTAGAAAACAAAAACGAAAAATAGAATACGACTTGGTAAAGAAATCTGCAATCTGCAAAAAATAAGAAACAAAGGGCAAAGTAATGATGTCATGCTTGAGATGATGACGAGTAAGGTGACAATCGATCTCAATGTGCTTAGTTCATTCATGAAAAATCAAGTTGTGAGCAATCTGAATAGAATTCTGGTTGTCACAATACATAGGAGTGAGATGAGAAAGAAAAACTCCCATATTTGCAAGTAACCAATGTAATCAAACAATCTCTTTAGTAGTAGATGTCATAGCACGATATTTTGCTTCGGTTGAAGATTGAGAAACAATAGATTATTTTTTGCTCTTTCAAGAAAAAAGATAATCACTCAAAAAGATACAAAAATCAGTAACAGACTTGCGATCTGTGAGATCACTGTCATGATCAGCATCAGAGTATGCACACAGCTCCAAGGAAGAGGTGGATGGAAGTAAAAGACTCTGAAAGACTATACTCCGAAGATACCGTAAAATACGAAGAACAACTGCCCAATGAACTGTAGTAGGAGAAGTAACAAATTAACTAACAACATAAACAACATATGCAATATCTGGACGAGTAATAGTGAAACATACCAAGCTCCTAACAATAGTACGATATAAAGTAGGATCTGACAAAGGTAAACCATCAGAAGAATAATACTTTGCGTTAACCTCAATGGGAGTGTCTACAATCTTATTTATCAGTAAGTGTAGCTCACTCAAGAATATCTGCAACATATTTTGACTGAGAAAAAAGATAACCTCTAGGAGAGCAGACTACCTCAATACCCAAGAAATATCGTAAAGAACCAAATCCTTCATTTCAAACTGTCTAGCTAACTTTGTCTTCAAAATTGAAATACCGTCAATATAATCATCAGTAATAATCATGTCATCAACATATAAAGACAGAATGATACGACCTGCATCAGTATACTTAACAAAAAGAGCAGAATCATGACTATTAGAAGCAAATCCAAGGGAAGAGATCACAATAGAAAATTTTTCAAACCAAGCACGAGGTGCTTGTTTGAAACCATATAACGTTTTCTTGAGCTTGCAAACATACCCAGAATCATGTGAAACACCAGGAGGGGGAGCCATATAAATTTCTTTTTGAATATCCCCATTCAAGAAGACATTTTTAACATCAAGTTGAGAGATATGCCACTGATGAACCGAATCAACTGCAATAAGAGTACGAATAGTAGTCATTTTTACAACAGGAGCAAATGTCTCCTCATAATCCATACTATACTGTTGAGAGTACCCTTTTGCAACCAACCTAGCTTTGTATTACTCAACAGATCTATCAGAATTAGTCTTGATCTTATACACCCAACGACAACCAACAACACTCTTACCAGGAGGTAGAGGAACCAAATCCCAAGTACCTGTCTTTTGCAAAACATAAAGTTTCTCATCCATAGCTTGCTGCCAAAGAGGATCAAGAATTGCCTCTTTATAGGAAGAGGGCTTAGAGAGACAATAAATAAAAGCTAAAAAGGAAGTAAAAGATGAAGAATAACAAGAATAAGCAAAATCTGGTAACTTTGTGGACTTACGAATGCGTATGGATTGACATAGAGGTGGATCCACAATCTCATATGGAGCTTGAGAGACCATAGGAGAAGAGGTAGCTTCAGGTGTGCCAGAAAGTAAAGTGTCAGTACTTGCAAAATGATCAATACGAATTGGTCGAGTATACTATAAAGGTAACGGGGTAAGAACATGAGAAGGGGTATTTGAAGTACTAGAAACCTAAGATGACAAACTATCAGAATTCTCAGAAAAAGGATCTATACGAATAAGATCAGATCTAGTCAAGCTATGAGTAATGGATGGAATAGAAAAAAGAAA